TTATCCGATAAAATGTAATATAAATTACAGTCTCAACGTCCATAATACTTACAGTAATTGTAATACTTATTATTTTAATTTTAATTTTATATTTATTGGAATTTTAATTAGTAATTCAAAAATTGATATCGCTTTCAATTTTTGAATTGTAATAATGATTTATTAGAAAAATATGATAACAATATTTTGTGTATGATAGGCGATAACAAATTGCAATTTAAGAAAGGCGGTATAGATAAAAAATATTAATGCAATGGATAAACTCATAAAACATCACAAATAATGCTTTGGAAAAGTGTAGATGAATTTGCTGTATGTTAGGTTAGGTTAAGAGAGAATAAACAAGATTACTTATATTTAATAGATAATTAGGTTCGAGTTGTTATTTGTTGTTGGTGGTGAAACCACTGATATTATATTAAATCGGCTCACATAAATTGGCCAAGAAGCTCGCTAGGTTGCTTCTAAATGTTTTCATTATTGGGCTCTTAGGGACTTATCAATTTTTAATAATTACATGAGTATACGGCTATTTTGTCCAGCAAATGCCACTACTTTTTTCTTATGTAAATTGGCCCGCTGGCGTTAAAAAAACATGACGCATTTTTGTTATAAATCGGTTTTCGAAATACATTTTTTTATTGTCTTATTTAAATTTTAATATGCGTTTTGTTCATTTGTAATCAAGTAAATTAATATTATATTACAAACAATTCGTTAGAACCTCTTTCTTGAATTTAGAAGAAGTACATCGAAAAGAAAACGTAACACGCTCAGGAAAGGAAAAAAAATAGAAACAAATTTAATTTAGCCACTCATTTGATCAAAATTTCTATATTTTTCCAAATTTTTTTTTTTATAGCACCTTCTCTTCTTAGTAAAAAGTGTTAACTTCATGTCTTAAACGAGAAATTAGCAGATTTTTTTTTGATGATTTAATGAATGAATTAACCATTTTCCTCCATATTTTGACCAATTACACCTACTCTACGTTACCGATTGCCAACATTGTGAGAAACGTTAATTGTTAACTCAATTACTTTGGATTTGATAGCTTGTAGGACCAAATGAGGGATGTTTACTAAAATGTGAACTACCCCCAGATAAAACGAAAAAAACCAAAATGTAATTCAAAACTTTTAATATTAAAAACCAATTCATAGAAAATATTTTGAATGTATTTTTCAAGGTCATCTAATTTACATAAGAAAAGTGAAGTAGAATCTGTTGCATAATTTTTAATTTTATTCGGTTAACTAGTTCTATTAATAATTAACATTTGTTAGTATAATTTATAGAATTTATATAATTCAATCAATTTAACAAAAAATAATTTTTTTTAATTGATATAATACAATTAATTAATTAATTTTATAAGATTACAAATTCTTAAAGCCCATAAATACCGTCATAATATAATACGGTATAATGTGATATGGTGTGTTATGCCAGTGGCAAAATAATTGTCGGCTTTTTGCCTTTCGAATTGTAGACTTTTGAGTGAGCAATTTTGTCATTATTACAAAAACAATTTAGGCGTGTTCACAATAGATTGTTTTTGCTATTAAATTCAAATAAATTGTTATTCTTAATTTACTTGTTCTTCCGATTTTTTAAGTTCAAATCCAATTAACAGTTGCGATTTGAACTATAAATATATTTTAACAAAAATCGAAGAAACCAATAACTTAACGTTTTTTCCTGTTTATCGATATTCAAATGAAAAAAAAAATATTCAAATAAAACTAGTTTAATCATTTTTAATAATATTAAATCGGATTTTCAGTGAATTTCACAAGAACTTTTTTTTATTATTTTAAAACGGTTGTCATTATACAGTATTGACACTTAAAGTTTCATTTTTTTCCATACTTTCGTTTGCATAAAATAAATTAAAAACCGAATTTCCAAACCACTCGTTAAAATACATTTTAAGTGACTGCAAAGAGCGTATTGTATTGTTATAATCGTTGATTTGAAGTATCTAGTCAATATTCGATAAGATACGAGTTTCTTAAAAGCTAAAAAGTACTTAAATAATATCAATTTTAATCTAGTGAAATCAGACTATTTGTGTGAGCATTTGTTTGAGTTGTGACGTCGCAGCAGTTTTGCTTTAAGGTTGAGTGGTTTATTTTATTTTTTTGTACATACTTGGTATTTGTTAAAAGTGTTGTATAAATATATAACTCCGAGATAAAAACACCCTCTTTGACTCTTTTTATCTCTGCGTTCTTTAATTTTCGACCACGCAGTCGTTTTTTTTTTATCTTTATCAAGCAAAATAGGTTGTGCAGTTGAGTTCACTATAGTACACCGAACCTACCCATTTCAAACAGCTCAATGCGATTAGCTGCTGATATAATTTTTAATACATTTATACGCGTTGTTATCATATGCTGTACTCGTACAGTGTAATCCATTTGCAAAATACTAATTTTCTCAGAAACATGGTAAATTATTCTTAACTATTTATATCAAGTTATACAACTTTATGTTGTACAAATTATTATTTTGGAAGGGAATTAAATATATAAAAGTGAAAATTTTGGAAAACTGATCAAATTGTAAAAAACACTACGGAAAAAAATGCAATTTCTAATAATTAAACCCCAAGAGACAATGAGTGGATCACTTCAACTAAACCTCCCTATAATAGGGTGATCCTTATAGGATGATCAACCAAAATGAGTTTTAAATAAACTACTTTTGTAATTTTTAAAGAAAAAATAATTTAATAATACATTATTTGAATCACTAAATAAAAAGTTTTTTTATGCACTTAATGAAAGTTTATTGTATTTATTATTTGTTTAGATCTAATCAAAACTGCCACTCTCATAGGTCCTCATTTTTAGGGGCACATTTTCATTAAAATTCCTACTTAACTAAATATTATTGCGGCAACTCAGATTATTGGCATTACAATATTTTTCATTTATTTTGCACAATATATATTTTTAATAAAAAGCTAGTTTTTAAAATTGTTATTTAATGTATCGCTATCAAATGTATAATTAATGTAACCCAATGGCCTTTGCTGCCGAGAGTAAAACTAATAAAAAAAAATTAAACTAGTTACGATCGTAATATAGGTCGGTTCTAGATAAAATAAAAATATAATTATAAAAAGTAATTACAAAACAATAAAAAATAATTAAAATATCACGATATTATTACGAAAGCTTCAGTTATTAAATAATAAATGTAAGTTAAATGAAAGAAATTAAATTATCTAATAATAATATATTTTTAAAATTAAGATAACAATAATTATTTAAATTTTAAAAGTACCACTAACTGTTATTGTTTAAGCTCATATTATTTACTTATACTATACTAAACAATTAATATAATATGGCTACTTTATACATATGTGTATGTTGATTATTGCAAATTAAATGTTGGTAAGACAATACATTAGTTAGTATAATTTTTAATTTAATCACTTTTTAATGTTTAGTAGTAGTATTGATTGTACATATTATACTACTCGTATTATTATAATAATTGTAATCAATGGTAGTAGGTTCTGCCCGGTTTTTCTTTGACCTAAAGGTGACGTTGATTTAAATAATTTTGGTTTATGCAACATATTCTTATTCAGTTTAAGACATTATGTGTGTGAAGTCTGAAACTATTTTAAACATTAATGTGAACTTCCTTATGATTTTTTGTAGGTTTCCTGCACTGAATATGTATTGAGTATTTAATTTATTATTTTAACTACAACCCTTTATAATTGTTTCAACTTGGGCCGATCACCCATAAAACCTCTGTGTTATTCCCGTCATTAATTATTAATTCTTATGAAAATACTTCACTCAACTTAAGGTAAAATAACAACTGCGCCTGACCTAGAAAAACATTTTCAAATGTTCATTAAATGTATTAAAGCCGTATGTAATGGGTCAAGGCGGTAACCGATATGAAATCTTATACTTTATAATTTTTTCTCTTTGTCAACCATCGAATGATATATTATATAAACTATACTGCGGTCTAAAAAATACTAAAAACTACCGACTACCGTCAACACGCCCATTTAAATGTCTAGTCATTTTTTAATGATTTAATCGCGTATCGAGGAATTATTTATGTTAATATAATATAGGAATGTTAAATGCTTGCTTAATATCACCTTTATTATACATGATCAAAAATTATACATTTTACAACAAAGTCATTGTATAATTTTTGTGTGTTTATATTCTCACTGGCGAAAATAGAGTGGAAGCGTTAAACTCGAGAGTACAAAAGTTCAACATATAAACTTACGTAGCTCCTCTATTTATTTATTGTTTAGACCCTTTAAATTGCTTAGACTATTTGACATACATTGTGCTTATATAAGTCCTCAACGACTACATAGATTAATATCAATAACAATAATCGTTTTTTAATTTAAGAGTTTTTTATACTTAATAGTACCAACTACAAGTAATAAGCAGATATTGGTACAATACAAAATTTTTGATTGCTCGACAATCGAGGTTTAATTACTGATGTATTTGTTACTCACAAGCTTCACTTTGTCGCTGCAACCAGGCTTCTCAATCTTCAGTTACTCTTTACAGTAATTTGGCAGACACATTTTCTTCTCTTTATTCCCTTTAAATAGGTTCCCCCAATCATCCTCTTCTCCTCTTTACATTTTTTTTTCTCAAATAATAAAAATGAATAATATACTTACACAAAAAAATTATATCAATTCAATTAATTTAATCGGGATTGCCGAGTGATCTTATCGATCATTATAAACTATCTACTTATGTTACTTAGTATTTAAAACTCTTTAGTTGAAATTATTATTATGCTTTTTAAGTATATTAAATATGTTATTAAAATAATATAAACTAAACTAAATAGACAAAATAAATATGTTAAAAAAATACATGTTCCCGATATTTTTGGAATATTAGTTTTATATTAAGCCTATTCGGAATTAGGTACTTGCTTAAAAATTATTATAATAATATTTTGTATTTTTTTTTATTTAGCCGACGGCGTGACGTACTCGTTTGGTGTTTTGTATACCGAATTCCTTACTGTGTTCAATGGAAGTAAAGGCGCCACTGCATGGGTAGCTTCTCTTCTGGTCGGAGTCACGTTGTGCTCAGGTAACTATACTTACCAATAAACTATACTTATTATTATCTTTTAATTATTTAACTCAATAGTTATGTCATTTATGTTCATGTCATTCTTACCGGTTGTGACGCGCAATTATAATTATTATTTTGTCAATTGACTAACTTGTTTTAAAAATAATTATGTCGTCCCATTAGGATTCCAACTTTAGGTGTGTTTAGGCCTAATTAATTATTATTGTACAGACTGCTACAAGAGACACTTCGTCGCCTTATATAATATATTTAAAAAAAATCGTACAATGTTCTACCGAACTCTACTCGTTAGACACACTTATAATATTATGTATTAATTATAATAGTTAACCGGCAGTCGAATCACTGTAGGCTTTGGGCGGTTGAATAATAATGATTATTCGAAAGTCGCGCCATCAAGACCGGAACAGTAGTGGTAGGTATATGTGGCTGGTTAGGTGGTGTACCTTGTGGGTTGTTAAGGTTAAAGTAAAAAAACAAACATAAATAAGTATGTTTATATATGTATATACATACATCATATATACATATAAAATACCTATTATTAATGTGCACGTCATTAATGTGTCTCGTTCATACATTTTTAACGACAAAACGCATTCACATTATGAACGCCACGTGCATTATTATATATCTATTATATTATTATTATGATTTTTTGTTATTGAAATAATATAAGCCTCGACATACCTAGTAGTTTTAACAGTTTGTTTTTAAAGAATATCTGTATTAGATAATTTAAAAAAATTATATTTTAATATTATATATTTTGCTATCGAGTTTTGTGTTTCTGGCGAGTAAAAACAAATGGTGGATAGTATAATTGAATAATAATAATTGATCGGTTTTAGTAATATGGAGATTTGGTTTGAGATGTTATCCTTTTGGCTTACTTCTATGCTATGGTTTACTGTCAGTGAGAATATAATATGTATGTTTGTTCAACGATTAGCGTAACTCATTCTAGACACATATCTGCTTAATCATTAAATAATTACTATGCATAAGTCTTGTTTGTCTTCCAATTCTCGGCCGGTATAAAGTGATTCTTGTTTTCTTTCTAATAGGATTTTTTGTGGCCATGGAAGTATTGAATTTTAAATTTTATTTAGTATTTTATTATTACTAATGCAATTATTTATATAAATATTATTATGGTATATAAAAACCACCGACTAAGGCTAAAAAAAATTGTTTTTTTAAAAATAAACAACCGTTAGACAAATAGTAAAAAACGCATTAGGAGATACGTGAGAAACAGATTTTTTTCGCGACTTTCTTGACGATTCGGATTCGTTTTTATGAGCCGATGATGTGAAAACTCTCGTTCTTGTCAGTGTGTGCGTACTACAATTCATTATCAAAGAGATTTTTTTACGTTTTATCTATTTGCACGGTAATTATTATTATTTTTATCTCTAACTTTTTGCGAATCATCGAAAACTAAAAAATAAAACCATTGCATCATTTTAGACGTTTATCACTGGCGGTTTTGATATCATCTCTTTTCTACGTTTTTTTCTCTGGCGTTACTTGGTAATATGCAATATACTTAGTTGCGTTTGACGAGCTGTGCTTAGACTTAAGACACAAATCCGCACTAAAAGAGCGTCATGATCAAATGTTAGGTGTTTCAAGGAAATATAATTGACTTCGAGAATCAAAAATTTATAAATGTTGTATGTTAATGCCTATCACTAAGCCTCGTGAATTCTTGCTGAAACCCTATATTTTTCGTATTATGAAATTTAATTTTTAATGAATAGTTTAGTACTATACGTAGTTCGGTTGTAGACTAATTCAACCATTGTGTCTTAGGTAGGAAATTATGTTTAAAAACATTACAATATATGGGTTTACGTTTCGCAAGTATTACTTACTGCGCATCAAGTTTTTTAGAATTAGGGTGCACAGTTTGTATCAGCCCAAGAGGGCAAGATAATCTGGACGGATGCAAACTAGTGTTCATTTTGTTTTATTACTATATTATATTCCAGGAGGGGAAAGGACATCATTCATATTTTAGGTTTAACGACCTACTAAACTGTTATGTAAACACAACATTTATATTTGCTTAAATTATTAGTTACTCAATGAAATGGGTTAAGTGAGGGAGTATTTTATTGCGGCATTGATACATTAAGATTTAAGCTGTTTATCTAAATGTCACAAAGAGCAAATTTATTTCTTATTTGGGAGTACATTAAAATATGAACAACGAAAAATAGTTTATTAGTCTAATGAATGGATTTTTTTATGAGTTTTTGCAGTTAAGCCGATTTTCTGTAATGTGTTTTTATAAATTTGTACAGATCACACATAAGATGGTTTTACTAAACATACTGGTAGATAAAATTATTTTAGAAAATGGAGTAATACAAAATTAAATTAACTAACTAATTTATGTAAGAAAAATAATTTAAAGAAATTAGGACAGAATAGTGGAAAAAGAATTTATGTTGTGTTAGTACTTTTTAGGCGATTTTATTTACCTGATTTTGATAAAATATACATGTCGGTTTAATTAGTTTTTCGGGTTTCCCAGTGTTGGGAGTGAAGGAGTTGACTTTTATACTATTGACCCACCAAAGTATCTAACGCATTCGATTATGGATCGATAGAGTTGCTGCTAATTGAGTAAATCGGTCCACTGTAAAAGAAGTTATCGTGACTTCAGACACAAAAACACATCATTATAAAACCAATACCTTCTCAGCTATCGAAGCTCAAAGGTTTTTTTACTTGTTTATGAATGCGTTTATTTTCTGTGAATAATAGGCTAATAAAAAATGGCAACAAAAATGTATTAAACATGTTGTAATCGCATAATTACTCGTCAAGTTGTACGGTTTGCGGTTCACACGTTTTATACATGTGGCGTGATTGATTTGTACAACAACGTATACTTACATTGTAGTTACGTTATAGCTGTATTGTGATAGTAATAGTATACACGATACGATTATGTTTTTGTTCGATCAGCTAATTCTACAAGATGGTTTAATTAGTCTGGTGTATACAAAAAAAAAATTGAAATGATAGTAATAGTAGGTAATCGTGTTCCCGCTAACCGATATCCATGCACAGATAGTCGGCCGCGTTATTTGATAGATGGCATAATACCATATTGTACACGTTACTCGTTAGGTCGCTTGTCTATCATAATGTCAAAACATTTAATTTGTGTCTGGTTATCGGTGTTGTCGCCTATGGGACAATGCGAATATAGATATGAATTCTATAGGCGACTGGATTTTGGAAAATCGAAGACGTATAACACTGATATAAGGGGAAATGTAATCTTTGAAAAGTCATAACTCATAACAAACGAACAGTTTGATAAAAATTAAAAATTCAAACGCTAACATTTTTAAACATTTTTTGTCTACATATTTATGAAATAACATATGTTCCCATCTGGAAAATCTAAGTCCATATTTCTATTATATAAAAGGGACGAAGGTAAAAATTGTTTAAGTTTTGATAAATATAGTAAAATATGTACCTATAAGTATAGGAAAACAGTAATTTTCAAAATATTCCTATTTTTCGAGAAAATGAGTGTCTTACATCAAATGGATCATCCTGTAAAGTATGTAATATATGCACCGGCCCACTATGTATATTTGGCTTGTTTGCAGAATAACGATTCTCCATCTCTTCGCTAACTTGGTTATTGCAGTGTTTCTATTGTTTGATATTGCCTTGTTAATACACATGCACTTAGCATAATATGTGTCGAATAAAAAAATAACATAGTCCATATAATGGAAGCCGTTAGTTTTTCAATTAAGAGTGCACCGACCTATTGTGTTATGGTTTCAAGGTCTCGGAGTCAAAATTAAATTTCATCATCTATGACAGTCCTGACAATTTGAGGAGTACGAAAGGAGGGTGTGTAGTTTGTATATACGACATTTTATAGACGATAACCGTGCCCGCTCGTCTTCTTGGTTCGTCGTTTAAAACCCAATTCTGACCATAATAAACGTTCGGCTTATTGCTTCTCTCTTTTTTTTTTAATAACGATGTACTATAACCGAAGTTAATAATATTTCTACACCCATACGGGCGGTATAGCTATGCATATGTAATATACTAATAACCATAGTACATATAATATGCGATACCGGAATTATATGCTGGCCAACTTTACACTTGGATATATTAGACTTCCCAGTTATGATTTTATAGGTTTTCATGAAAAGAAATTGAATGTTTGTTGTTGGTCTTCTAACCATGTTTGCAAAAATGAATCGAGATATAGCAAGTATGTAATTCTTTGAAGGTTTCCTATGTAATAATATTTATGTATATCGGGTAATAACTAAAAAGGTGTAAGTTTTTCCAATACGATTTTTCCGATCGCTTTTTTTAAACATTGCACGATTTCGTATTCTCTTGTTCAATGGCTTATAAAATCGGCACCCTGAGTACCCAATCTAATAGCCAACTTTTTCATTGCCATTGCTGGTATATTATTGAATAAATTATATGAATAATGTGAGTTGTTACCCTTAAGTTTTATCTAAAAAACTTCAACGAATGTACACGATCAATATACCTAATGAACACTCTTTAAAATATAACAAAGGCAATCAAGTTGGTTCGAACACATTCTATTACCGAGACATGCAACTTCGCTGTCATCGTCATACGAATTGTATATATTTTTAAAGTTTGTGAAGAACAATTCGTATTATTTTTTTGGAGATTTTTAGTGTAGGTATACAATTATCAATTAAAACATCCGTACCCCAGAGCAAAAGTGTTATTTAGTCACAAAATGTAAATTTTACAGGAGAAAAAAAAATGATTAATGAAATAAAATTAATTGAATTGATTTAATTAATTTTTTTTGATTGACTTAGATGGGCTCATCTAAGAGTCTAAACGTCGTGTAAGGTAGAATAGAGCGTGAAATTTAAAACTAGGTGAACCAAAAAACTGAGAAAATAATTTTTTTTACTTAATACACTGTTGCTCTAAGGTAC